CCTTCCAAAAAGGGCATTGTACCTCATATCGCCTTCAATTACGTGAAACTTCGTTTCTTAGATGGTTCCAACCATGCTTATTGGCATAATTATCTTGCCTTTGGTAGTTTCACATGCCATATTGAATCCGTTTAGAACCAGGTTTGCGGGTACGATCTGGTACTACATGTCGAGCTGCTTTATGACCTTCGATCTAATAATGTTGGCCGAGCTACCTGGATCAATTAACACACGTTTAACTTTAGTTTTATTGATAAGTACAGATATTACCAGTGCATCGTTGTGAGGTTGCATGACTCCTTCCGCATCTTCATCATTAAAGGACAAGGTTCCTATGGGTGCATAATCTTGAGTTCGAGATCGTTTTTCTCTTATAACCGACATCTTAGTGCGTTTAAGCACCGGCCCCTGAGGGGTATCGATCCCACCGATGATCATGTGGATGATGTGTTGTGGCTCTTCTTGTTCGTTCCATCTGTTGAAATCCCTGTCTTTGAAATGAGTTTTGGCCCTGTCATTTAAAAATTTTCGAAGATGCCTTTTATTGAATAACCGGGCCACCTCCTCTCTTAATTGCTTGAAATCTTCCGTTTTGTGGCCATGAGTGCCATGATATTCACACATTTGATTAGGATTCCTCTGGGCAGGATCGGTCTGCATAGGTCGAGGCCATTTAGTATCTTTGATGCGTCCGATAGCCGACACGATAGCGGATGCATCGATGCTGAAGTTGTACTCCGATAACCGAAGTGCTTCCCTATTCATCAGCCCCCGAGACCCTTGGCCTCGATCATTTCTCTTTTCACCTCATACGGGGTTGAGTGAAGGTTCGCTACCCCTACGATCTCCATTATATGGCCGATATCGATCCTTGTTTGCCCTTGGTTCTCGGTCGATATCCCTTTTAGTATCGGACCCAGAACCCAACTGGTCGTCTTCGACTCTTATTTTAGATTGATACCGATTGTGCACATTGGCCCAAGTAATAGCTGGGTACTCGATCAAGTTATGCTTCAGCCGTCGTGAAGCCATCGAGCTTCATTCGTTTAGACCTTGAGTGAAAGCTTGAACAACCCAATCATCTGTAACTGGTGGTAAATCCATTCGTTCCATTTGGAAAAGAGATACGAATTCTCTTAGCATCTCGTTATCCTTTTGTCTTACCTTGAATAGGTCTGACTTCCTGGTTTTGACCTTTATGGCCCCAGCATGTGCTTTTACGAAAGAATCTGTAAGCATAGCAAAAGAATCGATAGAGTTAGATAGTTAAGTATGATACCATATCATTGCTCCCTTTGACAGGGTTTCACTGAATTTTTTCAATAATATAGATTCGATCTCATCGTCCTCTAGATCGTTCCCTTTGATGGCACATGTGTAAGAGGTGACATGCTCATTGGGGTCGGTCGTTCCGTTATATTTAGGAATCTCGGGCATGCGAAACTTCTTTGGGATCGGTTTAGGAGCCACGCTCGGGGGAAAGGCTTTTGAATGAATTTTTTGGAATCTAAGCCCTTCAATATCGATGGTGCCCTCTGGATCTGATCAACCCTGGAGTTATATGTTTTTACTTTTTTGTCGTTTGCCTCGATCCTCCTTTCTCCTAACTCTATTCGTTTTGTCAGTTCTTCGAACATCTTAACAATTTTGGGATTAGTCCCCGATTCTTGCTCATTTGACCTTACTATAGCTGTTCCCGTTTTGTGGGTGACTTCTTGGGGTGGACTGGGCTCGAGTCTGGTCGGTGCCTGGGTTTGGCTTTGCAACTGGGCTATTGCTACTTATTGAGCTTGCAATATCTCTGAGATCATACCCAAGCTGATTCCGTTTTCCTCAGTGTTTTAGGTATTTCGAGCTGCAGACCGAGTTCTACCGTGAATGTTGTTTTCAGGGTCAGAATATTGGTTCGCCTCGATGGTCGCATGTGAATTGACGTATATTGGATCTTTGACCCGAGCTCCAACGGGATCGACGAGTAGCCTTCCACCCCCGGGGGTTAAGTTGTTGTTCTCATCTTGAAGGCCAGCTTCGTTGTCGATAGGTAGGGCCATTAATTGAGAATTCGTCGTTTTCAACCTAAAGTCAAAGATACTTCCAAGAGCAAGTGTAAAATAGTGTGTTTTGTAGAGATTCGTACCAAACAACCACTGTTATCCTTAGCCCCACGATGAGCGCTAAACTGTTTACCCAAAAAACGGATAAAGTTAAATTTGTACGTAGTTCTAAGGGTACGTGGTATAACTTGGCACAAATTAGAAAAGTAAGTAGAAATATATTGAGTATTGACTGTATAAGGGATTAAATACAAACCAAACTGAGTGAAAGATGTTTTATGAACAAGCAAGATGAATCAATGTACTAAGCCCAAAAAAGGGATAATCTATATCTCAATATGAGTATGTTTTCTCTGTGAGTAATATAAAAATGTAGGAATGCCTTCAATGTTTCCTCTCTTACAGAAATAATAGTCACCCCCTTATAGTGGAGGGATCCTACTTCGTATATATTTAAAAATATATAGTGGGGAAACCATGATAGAAAAGTTTTTCCCTGATTCCCGCCGAGATTCTCTCTCCTTAGTGCGACTGTAACGATTCTTGTCTCTTGGCTCGATCTTGGTCGGATTTGGTATTGGTTAATTTTCAGATTTAGATCTCGATATTAACTCGAGGCTCGGTATCGAATCGGGCTTGATATTGGTCGATCTCTGGTTCTTGAGCTCGATGACACCGTTTCACCTCATGGTTCGTTTTGGACTCGAGCTCGGTAATGACTTCGAGCTCGGTACTTGATCGAACTTGGTAACTTGGATTCAGATCCCATCTCGATATTATAAAGATGACTTTCGGTCCATTATGCTCCAATCTTGATTAATCATACGAAGGTCGAAAACGGTTTTGACCGTATACAAAAGTAAAAAACTTCATAGCATAATGAATTTATATTCTTCAATGTTGCGAATGCTGTATAAAAATATAATGGTGTCAAATGTCAAATTAAATTTCACTTTTCAAATACTCCCTTCTAACTTCTAAACTCCAGTTTGGCCATAAAATTTGGAAGCTTTTTTTCAAATTTTATTTTTAAACCTCTGTTTGTTTATAGATTTTAACTATTTTTTTTTTTTTTTTGCAAATAAACAAAATCTTCAAATCCAAAACACAGCTCTAAAGTAATTTTTTAAGTTTTCTACTTACAAAATTTCAAATTCTTTTCAAGTAAAATGCATGTCCAAACACAATTTCAACTTTCAAAACCCTTTTTCATCTCATCTTTAAAAATTTAATTTTTCAATTATCAACTATCAACCAAATTTAAACGTAACTTCGAGTATTATGAAATACTTACTCAATAAGTCGTTAATAATAAATGTGTTGGATAATTTCCATTTAATGAAATGGTTGTTTTTGTACAACACCATCGGAGATGGGGATTAACCCTCTGTTTGGATCATTGTTACCCATCGTTTTATAATGAATTGTATTGTATTATAAAAAAAGTTTGGTTTGACTGTATCGTATTGTACTGTAACTAATAAATTTACTAAAATACCCTCAATTATTTTAAATTTTAAGTTTATCAAGAATTACGCATAAAAATAATTTAAGAAAATTTATTTCGACTAATTTATCACCAATTATGTCTTATAAATAGATTACGCAGTTAAATTCATGCAAATTCTAATAAAATTAGTATAACAAGTTAATAATATTAAAAATAATAATAAGTACACTCCATTCATATGTAGATAATAATAATAATAAAATAATAAAATAAAATGTTAAGTACACTCTATTCAGAATTTAGATCATATGTAATACAGTCAAACTTCTCTATAACAACCTCGTTTGTTCCGAATATTTTTGAATGTTATAGAGAAGTGTTGTTATAGAGAACATATATTATAACATAACATGAAAATTGGTTCCGAAAAAAACTTGACTTTTATAGTGAAGTGTTGTTATACAGGGATGCTGTTATAGAGAGGTCTGACTGTATTTTCCGACATGATATATAATCCATAACTTAAAGTGCATAACATAATAGTTTTCTAACAAAGTGACATATAATCCATAACGAAATATTCATATTCCATGAAATCCTAGCAATTATACCATAACTAATATTACTCTAACTCAATTGCCACCGAAAACAAGAGCAAAAATCCGAAAAATAAGCTTAACTATCATTAAAAAAAGAACAATGATAAAGAAACAAGGAGTTAGGAAGATAAATGATAACGCTTTATACACTTGAAAACAACTAATATTATACAGTTAATTGGAGATTAAAGTAATTAGAATTGAAATTAAAATCAAATTAGGAGAAAAAACGGGAAAAAAGGCAAAACCTATACTTTTTTACCTTTGATGTTAGAGTTGGCATAAAAAAGGCAAGGAAGACAAAGTGGGTTATAAGTTAGAGATTTGAAGTTAAAATGAAAAAAAAAAAGGTAAAGGGTAAAATAGAATTGTGGAGTAATAAGTTAGGGCATAACTAGAAAGAAAAATAAGAAACAATCCCACCACACCAAATTAATTATTTTAAAAAAATGGGGCTTTTCATTGTTCCGGAATAATGGATTTAACAATACAATCAGTAGCGGATCCAGAAATTTTATCAAGGGGTGTCAAAATATAAATAATTAGATATATCAAAAAGTCAAGGGGAGTCAAAATATAAATAATTAGATACATCGAAAAGTCAAGGGAGATTAACGTATAGTAAATATACATAAAATAAAAAAAATTATCTAACAAAATAATGTAAGTTTCCGGCGAAGGGATGTCTTGCTTCAATGTGGCTCCGTCACTAAATACAATACAATTAATTTTAACTAAATAATCAAAACAAATATTATTTTGATGTAACAATACAATTCGATACAATGGGTAACAAGCATCCAGACAATCTGTAAATAGACACAGCAAAAATATTTTCCATAATTCGAGCTTATTGACTATAAAATGAGTTCGCGTTACTAGGCGTAAATTTCTACTCAATCGCACTAGGTTGCACAGACTTTCCATAAAATCGCTGGTGAGAATAAAAAACCCTCTCCGAAGGCAAGTTAAAATCCCCCAATCTTGTTCACCGCCTCCTCCATTTTCAGAGTCGAATCAAATGGACTGACTCACTTATCAACCCCCCCAAAAACAGTTGCTCTCACTTATTATTGCCAACTCCAAAACCCACTCCCAAAAAAATTCTCCCTCTCCCCGCTAAATTGCGCCGATGGAGAACTACTCCTACACCTCTTACCCTGAATCCGGTGATTCCTCTCCCCGTTCCCGTGAAATCGATTTCGATAACACTGCCTCATGGGAAGATCCAAATCAAATCCCTAATTACAAGGTCAAATTCATGTGCAGCTATGGCGGTAAAATTCACCCTAGGCCTCATGATAATCAGCTTGCTTACATCGGCGGCGAAACCAAAATACTCTCCGTTGATCGGAATACAAAGTTTCCTCAGATTATTTCTAAGCTTGCTGCTATTTGTGATTCCGATACTGTGTCGTTTAAGTACCAGCTTCCAGGTGAGGACCTTGATGCCTTGATTTCGGTTACTAATGATGATGATCTCGAACACATGATGCATGAGTATGATCGTCTTTATAGAGCTTCGCCTAAACCAGCTAGGTTGAGGTTGTTTCTATTTCCGGCGAATCCGCCGTCGAGCGTCGGAAGTGGAGTGCCTCAGAGTCGGAGTTTTGGTTCTGAGGATTCAAAATCGGAGAAGGAGAGGTTTGTTGATGCGTTGAATTCCGGCCCGATTCATGCGTCTCCGGCGGCGGGAGCTGTTGCATCGCCGTCTGGAAGCGCGGATTTTCTGTTTGGTTCCGAGAAGGGAATGGTACCTCCACATGTCAAACTAAGAGATCCGAACGTTGAGCAAGTTGTTAAGGAACCGGAGATTCCGGTTCATGTTGTGGATGATAGGATGATCGGGACTGATCCGATCCAGAAACACATTCAGGATCTGCAGAGGTTACATCTAGAAGAGCAACAAAATATGTATCGTCGGAAAAGCGACGATAATCTGGCAGCGGCGTTCGCCGGAGGTCATGACTATTATGTTCAAAAGGTACCGGAGAAAATAGCTCCTGCGGCAACCGTGCCAGGAACAGTACCTGCACAGGTAGGATATTGGCAGGAAAAGCAAGTCCCTGGAGGAGTACATCCGGCGAGCAGTCTCGGTACGGAACAGCCGGTGTACATGATTCAAGCACCCGCTGGAGCATATCACCCGCACCAGCACCAGCACCAGCACCAGCACCCGCAATTTGTGAGGCCAATGGCTGGACCGCCGGGTCAAGGTTACTACGCCGTTCAGAGGATGCCACAGCAGGAGCCTTATAGGGATCATCAGCCAGTTTACAATGTAATGCCCAGTGTACCACAAGCGGTGCCGACAGTACCAGCAACTCTGCCATCTCAGGGAGGACCAAAAGTGGCTGGATATTCCGAAGGATATGGGATGGTGAGACCAGCAACTGCAATGGGAGTTGGAGTAGCAGATGCAGGCGGGTACACGCAGATGGCCTACGACGGCGGAGTAGGGAGACAGATGTACTATCCTCCACAAGGTGGCGTCATGGCTCCACCACCACAACAACCTCAGTACCAAGCAATGCCGCCGCCGCAAGCGGTGGTTAGCTCCGATATGAGAACTCAAGAAGCTGCTAAGGCCTGTCCTGTCAAGGCTACGCAAGCATCAGTGTAATTCTTGAAGCTGTTTAATTAAGGTATATGAATGTCTTGAACTTTTATATGAAACTTAGTAGCAAACTAATAAAATAAAAGTACTAGTAGGGTATGAGTTTATAATATTACCTCTTATTTCTGTTCGTGTTGAGAAGATTATGTGCCATGTTGTGTACATTTTGAGTGGAAAATGAGTTTCATTATTGCATTTATTTCTGTATCAATTATTTGTTCCTTTTATTACGATGAATTTTGTGGGGGCTTTTTCCGGATTTTTGTGTATTTCCAATTTTTCACCTGAGTCTTTTTGGAAAGCCACACGCTAATTTGGAATTGGTGTAATTACTAGGGTAGTAATTACCCATCCTAGTAATTACACGGTCTAATAATACAATGACATGTTTGTTTGTCACAACGTAATTACAGTATAATTACAAGCGTACTGTTTGGTTGCACAAGTGTAATTACACAGTTAGATTATATGTTAAATGAATTATCAAAATTTAAAAGTTAAAAATAATAAATATATGCCTATAAATATTTTTTTAAAGTATAAATGATATTAGATTTGGTATTTAAGATGCATATTTTTTCTTGAATATACACTAATTAATAATCATATATTTATAACTAATATTGTAAAAATAATTTTTATATATTTTCAAATTAATAATATTTAGTTTAATTAATTATAAAAACTAAAAACATACATTTTGTAAGAACATCATGGAATGTATGTTTGATAAAATAAATTAATATTTATAAATATAATGTCATAACATTATGTAAATGTTAGACAAAACTAATCTATCTATTTTAATTAAAAAGGCAGAATAACCTAAATGGCACTTGAACACTTATCATTTCGGTCCCCAAACTTATCATTTTGCCAATTGAACACTTACACTCGTTCAAATTGTGTATAATAAACGCTTATGACATGAGGTTAGGAGTGCGTATAATACAATCTCCTACACGTAGGATGCCACGTCATTACTAGTGCCACATAGGAAAATAAACTATTTAAAAATAGGACTGGACACCCTACACAAATACCGAACCCATAAAAAAGGGATGCAGTAGATTCTTTCTTTAATCCTTTCGTTTATTAGGAACCACACATACCCAAAAGCTTCAAGCGAGCTTTAATGGCGTCTCTGCTTGTCCCTCCGGTTTTGATCCTCAAACACAAATATTTATCGCATTTTCAAGTCTAAATTTCAATACCCAGCTGAGTTTTAGTACTAGGTAAGCAACAACTTGAGGTTTCAAACCACTAGATTCGTTCTTCGCAAGACCAACAATGGAAATTCGAAAATTCTCAACAAACAATCATTTGAATCTCCTCTCCAAAATCTGAATAAAGATCCAAATAGCTAACCACAACAACAATAACCAAAACAGATTCGTTCATCAACCTAAAGAGTCGTAGGAATCAGTGACGCTACTACCACGGCTAGGACACTGGAGCAGCGTCGTAGGAGGAACGAAACTCGTCGGAATCCTAATCAGTTGGGTTTTGATTAAACAGAAAAAGAAATAAGAAATGCAAAAGATTCTTTTGTTAAAGAAATAGAGAAAAATAGTATATTTCTGCCTTATTTTGTAATTTTGAAGACTCATCCATTGTTTCCAGTAGTGTGGAGGGAAAAAGAGGGAGGGGGAAAGAGGGATTGGGGGTGAGAAGAAAGGTCGTATTTTGTGCCTGATTCTGTACTTGATTTTAGTTTAATTCATTTTTAATCAAAATCACTAGTATCTCTCTTTATACGCGTGTGTTACACATAATTTGTCCACCTCAGCTATGTCAATGCCAAATAAGCTCAGTCAATAATCAGAGGGATTTAGAAAATTAGTTTTGAACGAGTGTAAGTGTTCAATTGGCAAAATGATAAGTTTGGGGACTGACATGACAAAGTGACACAAGTATAAGTGTCATTTAGGCTATTCTGCCATTAAAAATGAATAAAATGCAATATGAAATAACAAGCCAATAATACTAAGACAAGTAAATTAGAACCATAAATATAACACAATTTCAAAATCCAAAAAAAAAAAAAACTTAAACATATGACAAATTCCAACATAATAAAAATAAATTTCAATACAACTTAAGATTAGGAAACATAATAGGTTTATAACCTCATTCAACAACGAAATTCTACTTTAATGACATCATTCATTATATGCCAAATTTGTTAATGACTCATTATTTCTAATATTAGGAAGTGTAGTTTCAAAAACTAGAATAATAACGCAATTACGCTAAATGAAGAAAATAGAACAAATAAGAAATAAAATATACAAGCAATTACATAGAATCACAAGAAATAAAGGTAGAGAAATAAAATATAAATAATGTACAAAAAAATATTTTTTAAAATTTAAAAAGAAATTAAAAAGTAAAAATAAAATAATGAAAATAAAAATAAAAAGGAAAGAAATTAAAAAGTAACCTTGTAGTTACACAATATAATTATCACCAATTTTTACCTTGGAGAGTACAATTATATCAATTATATGCTGACCAAATAATTACTTGATCGGACAAATATGTGAAACTGTATGATTACGACCAAATCTAATTAGGAAGTCGCTTTCCAACATACTCTTAAAAAGGCATAGACGGATTTACCTTTCTCCACAGTGAGCTTAAAGTTCGTACTGCGTAATAAGCAAAAAAGGTGACATTTTCGTGAAGGTAACCTTTTTCACTTTCTTCCCTGTTTGTTTGTCCGTTATGATTCCAATATTGCTCCCGTGCCTTCTGCGGCTGCATACTAAGGATAGGGATAGAAAATATTATGATTTGGTATAAAGCGAGGGGTAAAAAAATAAAATAAAAGGACATAGCAAACACTTTGTTTTCTCCTTTATTCTAGATATGTGCAATATTCCCACATTGGATCGACCTAATAGAAATTAATTTCACTTGGAGTAACTTGGTGTGGTTTAACATGCTTCCATATGCATTGATGTAATTGTAACATGAACGTGATATTTTTTGTAGATTCTTTAAGTTAGTGTGTTATAGAAAACTTGGCGTAACCTAATCAAATAATCGCACACATCCATAAATACTACTACTATTAAGCACCATTGCTGTCTCATAATGGTATGGCGGAAGTTTAAGGTGTAAACTTAGTTCTTTGCCCCCTTCCACTTCTCCTTTTTCCCAAAGTTAAATAATTTTTTTAAAAATATATATATCTATATGTAATCAAGTACCCGAGTCAAGGCAACATCATTCGAATAATTCAATGTTTAACTCGGTCTAATTTTGACTCTTTTTAGATAGAAAAGCTGGTAAGAGTTTTGCTTTTTTGTCTCAATTAATTGTAACCTAGGGACTCGACCCATTTCAAAAAATAGGTAGGATGGAAAAATGGCATGGGTGAAATTAATTCTTCAGCTGGCCGCAGTTGATTTAGATTGCTTAGTTTCCTTTTCTTCACAAACATCATCATTAACCAAATTCGTGAATTTTCCCTTTTTAAGCCTAAAGAACAGTTTACTGTTACTCTTGTGGCTTAGTGCAAGGTACGTTAAATGTCTTCCCTCTAGTTGTTTGATGCTTTGTTGCAAGTTACGTTCAATTGCACATTTTGTTTTTTCTCTCGAGTGAGATGGTTCCTAAGAGAAGGGAAAGAATAAAAGGAGAAGGAATTTGGTGAAATTTGAATAAATAATGCATAGAAACACGAATTATAATGAAGAGTTCGCAGTCTATATCTTATCTAAGTTACAGAGAGGAAGATTGCTCTCACGAACAACATACAGGAGCAATTCACTTTTCTCAAGAATCATATCGTGTGTTTTCCTCCTCTTTTTTTTATTACTACTAGTATATTATACGTATATAACAAGTTAAATATGTTTATTTATTACTGGACATAATCCGGGTTGACCCACATGAGTAACTCGAATATGTTTTACCTTCATGTTATAACTCCAATTCTTTGTTACCCTTTCCTTTACTTCCCAAACTATGACAATTGACAAAACAGTTCTTGAATAGTCTGAAAGACTGAAAGTATACCAAAATATAGTTGGACAAGGACAGACAAAAAATAGTGGTTCGGAGGGTGTTGTCCACACGGGCGACGCGGGTTCGATCCCCACTCAATGCCCTCTGGGTCTGAGTCTGTCGCACGGAATTTGTCTAGTGCGGTTTACATCTCCTGTGTGGTTTGCAGACTATTACACAGTGGGGAGTTTACCCAGTACATGACTGTTATAGAGAAATCTAATTGTATCTCCTATAGTTTTTGTTTACCCGTAAAATGGTAAATGGTACAGTTAAATTTGTTCGTGATTTCTAGACAAGTGAATTAATTTGATCCAAAAGGTAATGAAATAACTGATGAAATATAAAATACTTAGCCTTAGAATGTAGATGGAACGTCAGAGCTAGTGAGTCCGAAAATAAGATTTCTGGGCACAACAATGATCATATCCAAAGTGAGAGAATAAAAGAACAAAATTATAATAAAACGCTGTATAGAATATAGTGTAAGTTAACCAAAAAATTCTTTCCTTATAATGATAACTAAACTCTCTATTTATAGTTATGTCTAGGGAAGGAGGTCCTAGAATCATGTCATTCTTTAATGTCAACTATGAGGGCTATTGATGAAGATGTAACGTTAGACATAATTGCCAAATTCCTTGTAACGGGCCATCATCCTTAATGCTGTAAAATATTCCGTATTAAATGTTACCGGCCGCAAAGCATTTAATACTCCTTTGACGATCATTATTCCTTCCGGTGACAAGCGGAATAGCTATGTTCGGTGGCCATCTCCATCTTGTGTTCCACATGTCCTTCCTTTAAGCCGCCATATGTCATGTCGTATTTTTTCCTATACAGATAGTCCTCCTACTTTTCAGTGACATAACTTTGTGTTACCGGGAGGTTGGTAGAAACACTCTTTTGGCGGAAATTATTATAATACCTTTTGAAGGCCACTGACGGTTGATTAGACACATGTCTCTCCGCATTTAATGCCCCGAACATGTGTCTTCCCATGATTTAGCATGCCTTTTGCCGATTATTGAGGTAATCATGGCCATGAATTTAGCCGTCCGAATTTTAGTTATACCCATCATCCTTCTCTTATGTACTTCATAATCTCTCAAATTTCTAATTTGCACCTTTATTTCCCAATTTTTCTCTCATCTTCTTCGAACCAGAAATTCCCCTTCCTTCTATTCCAATGGCTTA